ACAGCCACCCCCGACCTGCTATCTTATTCTACAGGTCGCCACCGTGTAAAGAATTGTGCTAGTGCTCATGACAGAATTTATACTTACAGCTCTTAAGAAAAAAAAAAAACCACGGAAGCGTCCAAAATTGCTTGCTCTGTCCCAATTACAATATTTTAACAATACATTTAGTTAGCTGTTTACTAAAATGGGGGTGTTTTTTCCCTTTTCCCCCTTCCTCCTTCCAAACTGAATTATATAAATTGCTTGCTTCGCACCAATTAAAAATGTAATCTTTCCTCCAAAAATAACTTATACTACTAAAAAAAAAACAAAAAAACATTACTAATATGTTTGGGGTGGTTAGGTTTTAACTTGTTAAAGTTTTTATTATCGTATGGAATGGACTTTACATATTTACAATTAAAATAAATCAATGGTACCGGGAGAGACGAATTGGATATTAAATTGAACTATATAGGGACGGACGAAATATTGATTTGAAATAAATTAACAATTTATATAATACTACTATCGTATGAAAACGGGTGAGTTCTATATTATCAATTTAAAATAAATCGACGATATCGTCCGGAGGCTAGAATTTTATATTATTAAGGTTAAAATATATTATCAAAACAAAAAAAGAAAACAAATAAATTCTAAGATATAACGTTTAAAATAAGTCGACGATATTGTAGCGTGTGGTATAAATGGATTCTATTAATGTTAAATTGTGTGAATTGATTTTAAATTATGTTACATTAAAATATAATAACATTATTGTATGAAAGGGGTAAATTCTAAATTATGATAAGTTCCAGTACCTGAACAATATCGGATTTTAAGTTACAATATTTTATGTTATCGAAAGTTTGTGAGTTAAGTTTAACTAATAAAACCTACGAAGAACCTATTTATTCGCAAGCAATGTAAATCCAGATAAATTTTCAATACTGAGGGGTGATTTTGTATCTAGCTTTTTAGGGATTGTTTTCCATTGAATTATTCCCCCCACTGCTCGGATGCTTTAAGCCATATCCATTTAGAAGCCGTCAGAGCTTCATTTGAAATTTTCTTAACGGCTTTAGCTGATCCCACAATCCCTATTTTCCTAAAAGCTTTGCATAATGACTGTCCTGCAAAGCCACGGCATCCTACTTCCACCGAGTCATATGTGACTTTCCAGGAATTTTGTTGACACTTTTCGATCAATTCTTGATATTTTGATCGTTTCCTTTCGTTTGCTAATGTCAGATGTTCTTCCCAGGGGAAGCGCCTTTCCCACATAATTGGCAATTTGGGGTATCCCTTTTGCCCTATAAATATAAATTGGATGGGCTAGGTAGCACATGGTATACCGATTTTATTAGGAAACTTATTTCACCAAAGTTTGACCGCCAGTAGTCTGACCAGCTGATCTTTTTCTGTTCGACACCCTGTCATTTTGTCCATGCTCCCTGTGAACTAAGTCCCACCATCTTGCAGTATCTCGTTTCTTCAATCCCTGCTCGCGCCTCCTCTTGGATTAGTTGATGTCTTTCTTTTCCTTTGGCTTTGCTTATTTGGGGGCAAGGAAAATAACCGAGACCCGCTCTACCTTTAGCGATAGCGCCAAGAATTTCTTTATGCCGTAATCTATCTTCTGCTATCTCCAACTCCTTTTCTGCACGCCATTTTCTCCTCGTTCGAGATTGAATACATGCTGCTACCACTTTTGGGTCTTTTGATTCTTTATATTGCAGCTGTTCTCTTACTCTTGTGACTTTAAATTCCTCTACAAGACTATTGAAAGGAAGCTGAAGAGCATTACTCCTACTGTAGAGTGCTGCTATGCTCAGACACTTCGGAACTCCCAACCATCTTCTCAGGCGCCTAGTTATTAATTTCTCCAGTGATTCTACACTGGACATTGGGAATTCGTACATCAAAAGTGGCCATAATATTCTGGGTAGCACGGCGTGCTGGAATAACCAGGCTTTAAATCGCCCTGGTAAGCCTGATTTATCAATCTTATTGAGCCACTGTGTAAGGTCTTTAGTTGTCTGTTCAATAGCCACAGTGTCTCTTAGACTGCCGTCGAAAAACTTACCCAGGCTCTTAACAAGTTTTTCGTTTAGGGTTGGGATAGTTACACCGGATATTTTAAAATTATATTTCTCCATTATTTTTCCTTTTTTAATGACTAATGATCGGGACTTGGCTGGTTTAAACGTCATTCTGGCCCATGTAATGTTTTTCTCTAAACCCTTCAAGAGCCATCTTCCTCCTGTAACGGATGTGCATGTTAAGGCTAGATCGTCCATGTATGCTCTAATGGGGGGCTGGAGAATTCCTAATTTAGAGAGGGAGCCTCTACACTCTACTTCAGATGCCTTGACCAGCATATTCATAGCCAGCGAGAACAGTACTGCGGACAGCGTGCACCCCGTGATAATGCCTTTCTCCAGGGTGTGCCATTCCGATACTATTCTTGTCGATACTCTAAGCTGAAAGTTGTTATAATAGTCTGAAATTAGACCACTAATTGAAGAGGGAACGTGATGCCTTTTTAGAGCTTCTTCCACGAGCTTATGAGGCATGGAACCATACGCATTGGCGAGGTCAAACCACAGTACTGTCAGATCGCTTTTCTTTTCTCTCGCATCTCTTATCAGCTGCGTAAGTACGCCTGTGTGTTCCAGGCACCTGGCATTCCTGGGATACCAACTTTCTGGACAGATTTATCGATGTAATTGTTTCATAATTCATAATTCACGTTTCCAAGGTCAACCTTGGAAACGTGAATTATGATTTTAGCTGTGTCTTTAAAACCCAGTAATTTTAAAAGTTACTCCAATATTCGCTTGAGGATGAAATGAAACTCATGTCTTTAATTTAATTACAAAATTAAATTCGGAGCTTTTAGCTTCCATTTTTGAAACGTGGTTAGAATTGTGTAGCGAAAAAAAAAACCATATTTTAAATCAATTAATTTATAATATATATATATATATATATATATATATATATAGTTCCTATTTTCATATATATAGTTTGTACATATATATATCATATAGTTCATATAAATATATATATATATATATATATATATATATATATATATAGAGAGAGAGAGAGAGAGAGAGACATGTTATCCCTCACCAGTAGCATGACTTTCATGCACGACGCAATCCTCAGGTGCTGAATATGAACAATATATATATATATATATATATATATGACAAATTTACTATTTCGCCATACAAAAAACCTACCAGCATAAATTCATGTACACTTAACTACAAAAGCGAATGTCCATATTATTACAAAATAGCAATTATAAAGAATCTAATACATCGTGTAGAAACTAATTCATTCACGGAACAGATTTTTTTACAGTGAACTAAAGAATATAAAACAAACACTTATTAATAATAGCTTTCCAAACTATATAGTTGATGAACAAATAAGATGCTTTCTTAGAAATCTCAATAATAAGCAAATTGTACATAATACTGCTTCTACTGATCTCAAACATATTAATTTCTTATATCGTATTCAAATGCATACTAATTATAAACAAGATGAAAATATACTAAAACATTGGTAAATACTAATATATCTACAGTAGATCCTAGCAAAAAAATTAAGTTAATCATATACTACACTAAATCTATTATATCCAACTCAATTATTCGCAATGATTCTTCTCCCCCGGTTAACGATTTGCAAAAAACCAACATAGTTTGCAAATTCAAGTGCCCTCTGGGAGATTTTATCTCAACGGATTGAATAATATTTATGTTGGTCACACCACCAACTCGCTTTCACGACGCTTGACACTACATTTGAATGATAACTTCAACATTTTTAGCCATTTAAAACAACATGCCTGGCCGCATACACAATTCCGAAAAATCTTCGTTGAAAACACAACTATACTTAAACATGAAAACAATAAACGGAAACTAAAAATTCTTGAAGCTATATTCATAAAACAGTTGAAACCTAACGAGAACAAAATAAACTATAAAATCTCCACAAATATTCTTAAATGTCTATAATTGGTAACAGAAGCCATTGGTTTATACCAACGGCTTCCCATACTTAATGCTTCTCGTTTTCACTCTCGTGTGGTCGTGTGTGACGTCATGTGCTGCGGTGCGATTTTCGCTTCTAGCGTCTCATATACACGAGTTCCTCGTTGCTTGAAAATCTTCCATGTAAACAAAAACAGACTATCATTATTGTTTTGTCCGTCTATTGTTTAATATATTGTAATGTAATGGTCATCTATGATAATGGCTTATATATATATATATATATATATATATATATATATATATATATATATATATATTATAAATTAATTGATTTAAAATATTTTTTCGCTACACAGTTCTAACCATGTTTCAAAAATGGAAGCTGAAAGCTCGAATTTAATTTTGTAATCAAATTAAAGACATTAGTTCCATTTCATCCTCAAGCGAATTTTTGGAGTAACTTTTAAAACTTTTACAGTTCATTTTTCTCATATATATATATATATATATATATATATATATATATATATATATAGTTAATATGCATATAGTTCATATATATATATATATATATATATATATATATATATATATATATATCATGGAAGTACAGTGGAGTAATCGATAGGCATAAGGAATCGAAGAACCGAGTTCGAATTCCAGTTGGATCGATTACATTCCTTTACATGATAATACCCTTGGGAAAGTTATGAATCTCTTCTTCTCTCCCCAGACATGGGTAAAATAGACTATGGATGTCAACCGCTCCAGGAGGTAGAAAACAAAATTCAAAACCGGATATATATATATATATATATATATATATATATATATATATATATATATATATATATATATATATAGCGAGCAGACATTTTTAAAGTCTCAGTTGTTAAATTTGAAAATATCAAAACAGAATCAAAAGAGAACATGAAGGAAAGAAGAAAAGAAAGAAAAACCGTAATGAAAGGCAAAAGAAAGAAACTAAATCAAAGATTAAAGAAAGAAAGAAAGAAACAAAGAAAAAAAAGAAAGAAACAAAGAAACAAAGAAACAAAGAAAAACCCAAACGAAAGGCCAAAGACAGAAAGAAACTAAAAGAAAGAAAGAAAAACTGAAACGAAAGTACAAAGAAATAAAAAAAAAACTAAACGAAAGAAAAAAGAAAGAAACAAATAAAAAAGGGAGAAAGAAAGACCTTAAACGAAAGGCCAAAGAAAGTAAGAAACTAAACGAAAGAAAGAGAGAAAGAAAGAAAGAAAAGCGTAAACGAAAGGCCAAAGAAAGAAAGAAACTAAACGAAAAAAGAGAGAAAGAAAGAAAGAAAGAAAAGCGTAAACGAAAGGCCAAAGAAAGAAAGAAACTAAACGAAAGAAAGAAAGAAAAAGAAAAAAAGATTGAACATATATCAAGCTCAAATAAAATCTAAGCAGGCAGGATAAGTGAAGAAAAAGTTAAAGACGGAAGCTAATTAAGACAGTGACGAAGAAATCGAGGTGTGGGGGAAGCGGCACAGAAAGGACTAATGAGTAAACAGATTTAACACGGGCGGCGGAAAGATAGAAGCAAGCGACTGAAGGGAAGCACGAAATATGGAAATGGCAAAATAAAACGGAAGGAAACGAAGCAAATAAATCAAAAAGACCGGAAGAAAAATAAATAAAAATAAAACAGAAAACGAAAGAAAGAAAAAAAAACTAGTTTTCAAATTTACTTGGAGAAGGAATTTCCTTTAATCCATAAAATTTTATTTTATTTTAATGTAGAAAACGTTAATAAAGATAAACAAATTTGGTTAGCGGATGTTGTTAGCTGTTTTCAAATTTTAGGAAGTCAGCCATTGATTTGAAAAACGAAAATGGAGCCTGGTTTAGACGATAGTTAAAAATGATTGACGAAGTTTTTATCATAATTTCGGCAGAACTGTTTTTCGTTATTTTTTATATTTTTTTTTTACAAGAGCGAGTGTTCTTGGGAAAAGGAAGAACGGGACAAATATTGAAAGAAAGAAAGAAAGAAAGAAAGAAAGAAAGAAAGAAAGAAAGAAAGAAAGAAAGAAAGACACTAAACTAAACTAAACTAAAGAACGAACGAAAGAAACTAAACAAAGGTTCAAAGAAAGAAAGAAAGAAAGAAAGAAAGAAAGAAACTAAACTAAAGAACGAACGAAAGAAACTAAACAAAGGTTCAAAGAAAGAAAGAAAGAAAGAAAGAAAGAAAGAAAGAAAGAAAGAAAGAAAGAAACTAAACTAAAGAACGAACGAAAGAAACTAAACAAAGGTTCAAAGAAAGAAAGAAAGAAAAGAAAGAAAGAAAGAAACTAAACTAAAAGAACGAACGAAAGAAACTAAACAAAGGTTCAAAAGAAAGAAAGAAAAAAGAAAGAAAGAAAGAAAGAAAGAAACTAAACTAAAGAACGAAAGAACTAAACTAAACAAAGGTTCAAAGAAAGAAACTAAACAAAGGTTCAAAGAAAGAAAGAAAGAAAGAAGAAAGAAGAAAGAAAGAAAGAAAACTAAACAAAGGTTCAAAGAAAGAAAGAAAGAAAGAAGAAAGAAAGAAAGAAAACTAAACAAAGGTTCAATGAAAGAAAGAAAGAAAGAAAGAAAGAAAGAAAGAAAGAAAGAAAGAAAGAAAGATTATTCTTATGGGGACTGTGTATTTTTTCAAAAAAGACATTTTGAACATATTGAATAAAGCGTAAAGATTATTATCATCAACTGCTTTTACTTGTCACCGCCATGAAGATATTTTTGATAGTAGCAGTTTAATTCTCACATGAAAGACATTACACCCGTTAGGATACATGTGATAAAGAAAACTAATTCATGTGAAACTCATATATACAATCCATCATCAAATATGATGGAAAAATCTTCGGCTCCTTTCACCGACTCCCCCTGCTATATTCTCTCTTAACAAGATCAAAAACAAAAATGGCGTACTGCAGCCTTATCTTGTCTTTCCCACAAACGCAACGTCGTAAGCCGTCTTCTACTGCCTCCATTTCCACGGCAAATGTATGGACTAGCTACATTCCTTAGTTCCACCAATTCTGACCATCAGAGCTAAAACACGCTATGCCATGACCATTGGGAAGTATCATTCCAATTTCTTTTCATATTTTGTTAGTAAAAAGGAAGCTCAATTCGGACGGGTTCTTTCATTTAATCGCTACTTTATGCAAAAGAAACCCGGGCGGAGACATCCCTGATCACTATTGACCTCTTCAAGTCTAGGGTCAACCGTTATCTTTCCTATATATCGTCATAAGATGAACTTCTTACATCCTCCTCTTCCTTTATACAACAACCTCATTCAGTAACCCTCTACCTTAAGTGGCTCTTTGGCCTTATGTTGAATGAAAAACATAAATTAGTAAAAAACATAAATAAATCGAAGGCATATTTCCGAGTAAAACAATGTACAAATGGCCAAAACGTCTGATCTCAGAAATTCCACGCGAAAGAATGCTGAAGAGTACAATGGAAGAAACATCATAGACAGGGTAAATACGAGGGAAATGATCTGAATTACTCAATGTATAATAATAACAGTACTGTTAAGACGCTTTAGGGCAATGGTTAATGCTGTAGTTTTGTTGGCCATTCTTATTGACTAGTGAATTGTCACTCACGTATTTGTGGCCTTGGACCAAGCTTCGCTAAACTTAATAAACAGTAATTTCAACAACACTTTTAATACTTTCATATAGAAATATGGGCGTCCTGGCTATGACGATAAACTACATCCGCGTCCTGGGTAAGACGATAAACTACATCTGCGTCCTGGGTAAGACGATAAACTACGTTCAACAGCAAGGCCTCTGATCCAGGAGGTTTTGAGGAGCGTGGAACGACCTCTTAATTGCTGGTGTTCCCAGGTCTACCCTGACCCGGGGTGGTAGCACCTGTTAGGGTCTCAACTATGGACAAATATTTACCACCAAAACTTGTGTAAAAATAGTTTTTAATACCAGAAATACTTTGTAATAAAAAAATTATTACCAGCAATAATTTTTGAAGGAAAAATTATCATCAGCAATACTTTAAAAAAATTACCAGCAATACAAACAGTTATACATTCTTTGAAAAAAATATGACCAGCTATAGATTTCTTCAAGGAAAAATATTCCCAGAAATAGATTTTTGAAGAAAAACATTACCAGCAATAAAAACGTTGTCGGCATTAAATAACCCATTGAGGTTGATATACCGTAAAACAAAAACCAAACCAAACAGAAATATGGCCGGAGTGTACAACTAAAGTAAAAAACGTTATGATGAAAATTAGAAAGAAGAGGAGACTTGTTGGACAGAAATTAATGTATAATAGTAAAAAATGCAGATGTGGTGCTTCCATCGATGAGTTTGTTTTGCATCCTCTCTCCTGTCGTCGTAGTGCCGGCCGCTTTCCACGGCATGCAGCAATAAACGACATCATTAAAAGAGGTTTGGATGCAGCTGGGTTCCCTTGCCAAATCGAACCCGTAGGCCTCGACCGTGGTAATGGAAAGCGACCGGATGACATTACCATTTTCCCTTTTAAAATGGGGAAGTCGTTGATTAGGGATGCAACCTGTGGAGATACATTTTCGGTCAGTAATTTGATCAGTTCCGCAGTTGAGCCGAGGTCCATCGCCCGGGACGAAGACATAAAAAAAAAATTGAATATTCTCTTGCTGATAGATTTTTTTTTTTTTTACTCCTATGACAGTGGAGACTTCTGGGCTTATTGGCCCTCGTTCGATGGAGTTCCTTCGGAGGGTTGGCGCGATTGCGTCTCGATTAAGGGATGAGCCTCGCGAAACGGAGTGGCTCTTGCAGCGTGTCTCACTGGCGATGGTTCGAGGTAATGCTTTCTCCATCATTGCGGCTGGCAGAGAATAGAAAAAAATTATTTATAGTTAATTTGTTCTGGAATTGTCATCAATAGCCAACTAAACTTGCTGAAAAATTCAGGTGTTCTGATAATGCCATGTATAGTAAAAAAAATATTTCAGATATTAATCGAGAAAAACATAAAGATTTCAACAACCGAAACAAAGAACAAATTCAAAAAAGTTCAGTGTGCTCGAGTTATACAATAGATCAGAAATAGATTTTTTTTTAATATTGCTATGGATTAAACAACCAAGGTGATGAATATTTAAAAAAAAATATTCAATTTAATAAAAAAAATATTCGGAGTCCAGTTTACTATGTAAATATGAAACCCCATAAAACAAAATTTTAACTCTGGAATACAATTTTCAACCATTCCAGATACTTCTTTTTCTTCTATGTGAAGTGTCCCTTCAGGAAGTTGGCAATCATAGCTCTCCACGATTTCCTGACCTTTGTAGCTCTAAATAAATTTTGTCCCTTCTAAACCTTGTTCCGCCATCCATTTACTCAAGCTCGGAAGGTAAGTTATGCATTGTTTTCCTTTGCCCTCTTGCATTCAATCTGTCCTGTGAGTATCAAATTTTCCAAGCCCTCTTTCCTTAATAAGCGACCTAGAAATTTCAGCTATCACTTTCTGAGATTTAGTATGAGTGTCATTTTTGTTTCTATTTTCTCTAAAACTTGGTCATTACAAACATGTTTGATCCATGGTCTTTTCAGCATCCTTCTCTAGAACCCCATTTCTGTTGCCTTCAGCCGTTTTCTTTATATGCGAGGGGATTGCATTCACTGCCATATTGGAGGTCTGACATTGCATAACAGTTCAATGCTTTTTGCTTTGTTTCTAGCGGCATTTTTCTGTTTCTTAATACTTCGCTTAGCTTTTGGAAGGCATCTTTCGCCATCCCAGTGCGTCTTCGGGTTTTAATGTCGCACTCTCCGTCCTCTGTTAAGACACTTCCCAGATACTTAAATCGCTGTACTTGTTTGATTTTTTGGTATCTCCAACTTGTAATTTGCACTTTGGTCTCACCCCTTTTGCTAACAACCATGCATTCTGTCTTCTTGCATTTCATGTTTAATCCTTTTTTCTCACTTTGATTCACTTCCTTTTTGTATAATTCTGCTATTTCCGGTCTGATTCTGCAGCGCCCTCTATTCATTAGTATCATTATGTTTTTAAAAAACAATTTTTTTTCTATTTTAATAATGACTGATTGATTTGTTTTTACGGCTTATCAACCCTTCATGGGTTATTTATAATTTGAATTTTAGGATATTGCTTACAGTACCCGATATCCCCACGCGGTACCCCATCGAAGTATTGGGCGGGTTCGACGTTAAATTTTTAGAAGTCATTTCATATGAGTATATTTGTTTTGATTTCCGTTGACGGGGGATTACTTTACAAACAAATTACATAGCAAACTGGACCCCCTTGTTTGATTTTTGGTATCTCCAACTTGTAATTTGCTTGTCCTTTTGCTAACAACCATGCATTCTGTCTTCTTGCATTTGATGTTTAATCCTTTCTTTTCACTTTCCTTCACTTCCTTTTTGTAGGATTTCCTGTCGTTTCCTTTCTGTATCTGTTATCATCACTGTGTCATCTGCATATCTTATGTTATGAAGATTGTGGCCGCCAATAATAAATCCTGGTAGGACTCCTAATTCTCTCAGAATCGCCTCACTGTATAGATTGAATTATTCCGGCAAGAAGACACATCCTTGTCTTATACCCCTTTTTGTTTTTTTTATATTTACTGAATTCATTTTCTATCTGTATAGAGCTGGTCTGCTGCCAGTATAGGTTCCGGATTATTTTAATATCTTTCCCAAATATGTCATGGCGACTTATCAATTCCAACAAATCTATGTGACGTATTTTATCAAACGCTTTCGTATAATCTATAGGACATAGGTACATGTCCTTCTGCAACTGTATAACTATTTCTATCATTCTGGGCATAAATATCGCATTCCTTGTTCCAGTGTCTTTAACAAAACCGTCCTGTTATTGTCCTTTTCTCTGTATAATTCTGCTATTTCCGGTCTGATTCTGCAGCGCCCTCTATTCATTAGTATCATTATGTTTTTTAAAAAAAAATTTTTTTCTATTTTAATAATGACTGATTGATTTGTTTTTACGGCTTATCAACCCTTCATGGGTTATTTAAAGCCGTAATATATTTCGAATTGTAGGAGATTGATTACAGTACCTGATGTTCCCACGCAGTCCCCCATCTAAGTATTGAGCAGGTTCGTCGTTAAAGTTTTAGAAATCATTTCGTATGAGTATATTTTTTGAGAAAAGATAACAGTTGGCCTTACACTTGAAGAGACCAAGACAATATATATATATATATATATATATATATATATATATATATATATATATATATATATATTGAAGGACACTTTGGTCAGTCATCTTTTTGAAAAACTGAATTTAGGATTGCATATTTATTTTCCCTCACATCGTGTATTTTTCCTCTTGTTTCTTTTTTTCTTTTACTTTACATTTTCTATTTCTTTCAATCTTTCCTTCTTTGGCTTTTCGTTTAGTTACTTTCTTTCTTTTGGCCTTTTCTTTAGATTTTTCTTTCTTTCTTTAATCTTTTTTTTTGTAGGGGTTGGTTTGGTTTGTCTTATGGCATATCAACCTCAATGGGTTATTTAATGCCTATAAGATTATTATTGCCGTTAATTTTTTTTTTTTTTCAAAAATATATTGTTGGTAATTTTTTTTCAAAAATATATTGTTGGTAATATTTTTTTTCAAATATATATTGATGGTAATATGTTTTTCAAAAATAAATTGCTGGTAATATTTCCTTTTTCAAAAATGTATTCCTGGACAAAATATTAATGGTATTAAATCCTATTTTTAAAATTTCATAGTA